TTGTATAAATCTTGATAAATTAAGATTCAGTATTTGTTTGCCTATATGCCAATATGTAAATATGCATATTTTAATCCTTAATAAAAGATACTTCATTAGGCTATTACATACACTTTATATATGTAAAAATAGCTGTGCTTATAATCATATCAAATATTATTCATGTTCCTTTGACTTCCTTGGGGATTTGCATGGTAAGATCCTTACCCTTTAGTTCTGTTTTCCACTTTAGTGTTCTTCCTGGCCAAAGGCATGGAATAAATCTAGTCTAGGAAGGTTTATGATTTAGGAATAGCTGTATTCCTTAGAGAACTGACAGCTGGCATTTGGACCACCCAATTATTAAATACTGACTTGGTTTATTTCTTTATTCATCTAGGTGTGTCTCTCTCTTCTGTGGCTTCTGAAAGTGATTATGCTATTCCCCCAGATGCTTACTGCACAGACACAGAGTACTCGCAGCCAGAGCAGAAGCTCCCTAAAACTTGCTCGTCTTCCAGTGATAATGGGAAAAATGTAAACACTGAATCAGGTTTTTTTTTTTTTTAACATTGATGAATCTGTTAGCTTGAGCCTCCAAAGGGACACTTAAATATTTTAAAAAATATCTCTTTAATTAGGAACCACTGGAAAAATCTGGCTATTTATTAAAAATGAGTGGTAAAGTCAAGACTTGGAAACGGAGATGGTTTGTTCTTAAAGGTGGTGAATTACTTTACTACAAATCTCCGGTAAGTGGAAAGTATTTGTTATTTAGAACTGAATTCATCGAACTGTAAATCAAATTGCTGATTGATTTTCGATTTTCTTCAGTGTAACACAATTAATTAGACAAAACATTTCTTATTATGACTGTTATAGGTAATCAATTTGCATTTGATTTTCTTCCTTTCATACAGAGTGATGTAATTAGAAAGCCCCAGGGCCATATTGAACTTAGTGCGTCCTGCAGTATTTTAAGAGGAGATAACAAACAAACAGTTCAGGTACTTTTTTTTTTTTGTATCATGCAGAATTCAGTTCTTAATTATGCAACAGAGTGGAGATTGGATGATTCAGTGTTTTGGTTTATTTTTACTCCATTTTGAGGTCAGTTTGATGCCTCAGAAATGTGTGAAACCCCAAGTTAAAATTAGAATATAAGCTAAGTTTATGTTAACTCCCCATTATACTTTCTTTGCCCTTTATCCTTTAGACTGTCCTCTCTCCATACTGACCCTCCCAGTCAATCTCAGTTCTCAAACTGTCAAGTTGTTTTAGCAGAGGGTTATTTGATAAATGAATTCCCAGTAAGATAATCATAATTTAACTAAGTTCAGGAATTTTTGCATTTTAATACAGAACCAGAAAATGGCAGTTCTGTGAACTTCAGATGCTGTAGCACCTAAGTGGGAAAGATACTGGTGAGCAGAAGGGCTGTTCTAGGTCCCACCAAGTCACACCATAGGGGTAGCTGCTGTCCATTTCACCCACATGTAATGCCAGTCTTGCCAGAAACCTTTGTTAAAAAAAAAACAGGCTGTTGAGATAGTTTCGTATATGTGATTTAAATTTGAGAGCCTTTAGTTCTGAAATGCCTTCAATAATCACTATTTTCTTATTTTGCTCCTTTGGAGGGTGGAATGCAACACTTACTAGAAAGATACATTAACAGTGCTTCCAGTGGGTAACATCAGAGAACTGCCCAAAAATGGAGAAAGAAGACTCAGGGAAAGCTTTGTCTTGGAGCATGGCAGATAAAAATCGTTTACAAGCTTCTGAAATATTTGAAATTTTTGAAATGAGGCTTATTTGAGCCTGAGAAGTTGGGAGTTTGTAATATCTAATCACATCTTCTAAGAATCTCTTCTTCTATAAATGTCTTCTTATTTTACTTATTATAATTGATTTTCTCATTTCCATAACCGAGAGCGCCTCTTTATTTGCTTAAAATGTGTTCTTTTACTACAGTCTGCAATCATTCTGCTCATTTCCACAACTAGGAGCCTGTAGCACATTTAAGGGAGAAAATGAAAATATCGTGAATAAACAAGATAAAAAATCATGACCCAAAAGCTTAATACTATGAATAGTTTTAAAGTAAACAGAAGTGGAAGAAAATTATTTCAACAAAAAGTTGTCATTCTCACAAAAGGGTTAAAATATGCTAAATGATTTATGAAATCATTTATTTAGAACCTAGGATTCAAAGTTTAGCATGTTTGATTCCTTGTTAGATAGTGATGTTTGAAGAATGGACAAGGAAATGCTAATAATTCTAAAATCTTCAATTCCTTTCCTCTCTCTTTCTCATCCCATTCTAGTTGACCACTGAAAAACACACATACTATCTGACTGCAGATTCTCCCAATATATTGGAGGAATGGATTAAAGTGTTGCAGAATGTTCTTCGAGTACAAGCTGCCAACCCACTTTTCCTGCAGCCTGAGGGGAAACCAACAGTAAAGGGATTGCTCACCAAGGTGGGAACTTTACATGCCTACTAGCAATGTGCCTGAACAGAATTAGCCCCACTGATCATGAAAAGTGGGCATCAGAGAATATGTATATTGACTATTTTATATGATCTTGGTAAGAGTGTTTTAAGTATGATACCAGAGATAAAAAACATAAGGATGAAAAATGACAAAATTGACTACTATATAAAAAAAAGTAAATGTTCTTACTATCAGAAATTCTCTAAGCAGAATTTTAAAAAGACAGATGAGAAGCTTTTAAAAGGTATTTGAACCATGAAAAATAAGCATTTTCTAATCAGTGAGTAAAGGCTAAATACCAGTGGGGGTTGGGGGATGTGGAGGAACAAAGGACACAGTGGGAGAGAGGTAGAGCTAGTAGAGATAAGGAGAAATACATGATCAATAAGCACATGGGAAAACATTTTACTATCACTAATCATTTTCTTAAAAAGGGAAATTTGAAGTAATAGATATTTTTAAAAATCTGGTCGAGGGAAGACTTTTTTTAAAAGTATGAAATGCAGAGGGGGAGGGTATAGCTCAGTGGTAGAGCATATGCTTAGCATACACGAGGTCCTGGGTTCAATCCCCAGCACCTCCTTTAAAAAAGAAAAATCAATCAATCAAACAAACAAACAACCTAATTGTCTCCCCACTGCGGGTGAGGGGCGGGAGGGGAAGGGAAAAAAAAGTATGAAAGGCAGTATTGACACAAATTAAGAAACTTGCTAGTGAGAGTATTACTTCTGAAGACAATTTGGCAATGTCTTGGCCTAAGTGTTTACTCAGTAAGTATTTTTGAATGAACAAATAAATGAATGAGTGTTAAATGTCTTAAAAACATATATACATATCCTGTGATCCACCAATCTCAATCTAAGAAATTTATGCTTAGGAAATTATCTTAATTTGCAAAAGATTTAAGTATTTCCATCACAGCGTGGTTTATTTTTTTCTTAGTTAAAAAAGTTAGATATAATTAACATATGTTGAAATGCAGATCGTAAGTGTAGCGTTTGTTCAGTTTTGACAGATATTTACTGTCATCCTATCAAGATATAGAACATCTCCATTACTGCAGAAAGATTACTTGCATATCATAGTTTGTAAGAAAAACTGGAATCAACTTAGATATAGACTAGGGGATAGTTTAAGTAAACATTTAAATAATCAGATAGTGCTTTTTACTATGCATTTTAAATGTTGTAAAAGAATATTTAATGTTTTAGAAATATGTTATGATGTATTGTTAGGTGATAGAATAAGTACAGTATTATATTGTTATCCCATTTTTGGTAAACGTATTTGTAGAAAAATGACTAAGAAATATACTCAGATATATTGGATATCTCTATGTGGTTTTACTTCATTTTTTCTTAGTTCTATTTTCTAACTTTTTTAGTGTGAGTAAGTATTGATTTATGCTAAGATGAATATTATTTTTAAATTTTAGAAAGTTCAGTTGGTCACTTTTAGAACAATACAATAAAATACTTACAAAATATTATATAAAAATAATCTCTACATAAGCACTCATCACTTGTGTGCTTTGTTTATGTAAGAAGTGAAAAGTTTAACTGTGGGTGGGCTATGCCACCATGTAATTTATACTTAATATTAATGTGGGGATTTAGTTGGGTGCTCTTCAGTAATATTTACTAAGACTGACCAGCTACTCTAAAAGTAAGAGAAAAAAATTCACCAGTACATTCAACAAAGAGATGCACTATTTTTTTTTCCAAAATATTACATTACCACGAAAATGTCTTTTCAGTTACTGATGGGTTAGAGAATTTACCCACTGATGGATATTGCGCTAATTTATATTTTCCAACAAACAAACAGTGCCACTTTAAATCGCATTCTTATTCTAATACATAATAACTAGTTGTCTTCTTGTTTCAAGGACTATGTATATCAAACCGTAGACTTTAATATAATCTCATAGCTAAATGTTTGTTACTTCTTTCACAGTTAGTGTTTTTGTTTGTTTGCTTGTTTTTGATGTATCGTCATGGCTTCTCAATTTCTGCTCCTGTTACATTTCTGTGGTTCCCTGCTTCCCATTTCACTGTTGCATTTTGAATGAATATAAGTTCATGGGATTATCAGATGTCTAAACCATTAGGGTTTGCAGACAGGGTGCTTATTAGGTTTCCTTCCTGCCATGTGTGAAGGCTTGTCCACCCCCATACTTTCACCTATAAAGTCTTATAAGAGAAAAACTCCTTCTGAGTGACTGTTTCAAGCTCACATGCCAGTTACAATCCGAGATACTGCAGATACTGAAATGCTTGAGGGGAGGAGCCTTTTTAAAATTGTCACACTGTTATTATTAAGTACAGAAATATGTAGGTAGATATTAAGAACTTGACTAATTTGATTCTGGCTAGTCACTCTTGCAACTTTTATTTTAATGCTTAGGCAGAATATTTTCTATATAAAAGTTCATTTATTTAAAAAAAACAATCTATTGAGCAGGCATGGTGGGAAGGTATAGTGCAGGGGCTAGACTTGCAGAAAGGTGAGGAAGGATGGTATTTATGTTTGTGGGGCAATGAGTAAGAGCATTCAGATGTCCCCAGTTTTCTTGATGAAGATGGCTCTATTCCACAATTTTATGAGAGCGAAGATAAGGACTGAGAATAATAACTGAAGTAGAACATGCCCAAGGACAGACAGAACGATCGAGCATTGTTATTGAGGACCCACTTGTCTTCAGTGATCTGAGTTCATCTTGATTCTTTTTCTCTAAGATGCCCAGAAATAAGAGCAGAGAATTTACATTGTAGGGATGTGAGGATCATCATTTTTTTCTAACATTTTATTATGTGAATTCTCAAATATGCATAGAAGTCAGAAGAATATTTTGCAGTGAACACCCATATTCCCACCACCTAAATTCCACAATAACATTTTACTTGCTTTATATATATCAAGATGATGATTTAATTTTAAGATGTATTTACTTTATTTTTATTTTATTTATTTTTTGAAGGGGGAAGGTAATTAGGTTTATTGATTTACTTATTTTTTTAATGGAGGTACTGGAGATTGAACCCAGGACTCCGTGCATGCTGACCAGGCACTCTACCACTGAGCTATACCCTCCCCCCAAGTTGATGATTTTAAATCAATTGTGTTTTATTATGGGCATTTTCAAACATCTGTGAAAGTAGAAGGAATAATAGAATCTTCATATATTCATTACCCAGTTTCAGCAATTATTAACTATGGCTAATGTTATTTCTTAAAACCTCCCATTACCTTCTCTTTCTTCCTACACTCTCCGCTGGATTACTTAAAATCAAATGGAGGTGAAGTTTTGTTGAGTGGATTTGTTGAAAGCATAGGAATGCAACATAATCACAGTCCACAAGAGTTGTTTTGTGATCAAACATTGGATCCAAGGTTGATGGAGAAGTAAGAGAGGCCAGGAGGGAAATGATAAACTGGAATAAAATAGAAGGATCGAGGACTTAAAAGTTTTGAATGAGGTAGGAGAATAGGAGAGCAGGCAAGGAGAAAGGGAGCTGCGGGGAAGGTTGAGCTCAGAAAGTAGAATGTAAATTTTAGAAGTGAAGCAGTTCCCAGTGAAGGAAAAAGGACCAGGGTGTAGCCAAGGGGATGGATGGCAAAAATGGAGGGATAGTTAGCAAAGGTTTTTGCAAATGAAGAGAGCGAGGAACTAACTGTGAGTTAAGATTGGAGAGAGGTGGTGTAGCAAGGAGGTGAGGGCAGGAATTTAGGAGCCAGGCTGCATGGGCTCACATCCTGGCTCTGACACTTGTGTGACCTTGAATAGGTTACTTAAAGGCTCTGTGCCTTAGTGTCCTTATCTGTAAAGTGAGAATAATAATAGTGCCAACCTCACAGGATATTGGGTAGATTAAATGGAATTATTTAAGCATGTAAAGTGCTTTAGAACAGTGCCCCATCATCATAAACACTCCAGATATACTCGCTATTATTATCATGAGAGTTTCACCTAGATGCTGAAATCAACAAGGCAGGTGGCAGGGTTTGTGGTGGAGAAGGTTACAGGCATGAAAATATAGGAGAGGAGAGAAGACCATGGGAACTTATGTTTTGTGCAGTGACAACAACTAATCAGGATATGATATATGGTTTGTCATCAAAGTTTCAGACCTTTTTTCTTAATTCTTATTTTTTTATTGAAGTGTAGTCAATTTACAATGTTACTTTCATGTGTATAGCAAAGCAATTCAGTTATACATACACATTTTTTTCAGATTCTTTTCCATTACAGCTCATTACAAGAAATTGAACATAGTTTCCTGTGCTATACAGTAGGTCCTTGTTGTTTATCTGTTTTATATATAATAATGTATATTTATTAATCCCAAACTCCTAACCTATCCCTCCCTACCTTTGCCTGCTGGTAACCACAGTTTGTTTTCTATCAGAAATTACCTTTGTTATAGATGCAAGGTAAAAAAATTATTCTTTCAATTACTTAGTTCACCAAAGCCTTGAGGTCTGAGACTGTCTTTAAATCTTCCCGAGGATTCTTCCAGTATAATTTGCTTTACTATGATTTTTTCAGAATAAGTCAGAGTTGGAAGAAATCTTAATCCAATTAGATTTACATAAAATGATAGACCTGTGTTTTTAAAACACAGCTTTTACAGTGAGTTGGCAAAGGTCTTCGTCAATTTGTAGTTCCTCAAAGGCACTCATTGTTCTATTTAAAGATAAGTCATTTCAGAAGTATATTCTATATAGCCAGATGCTTTATGCTCCAGTTTTGGTGAGACTCCTTTCTGGAGTTTGTTTAAAACAACAACAAAAAAAGCCTGCATAACACAAACTATTTAAAACTTCCAGGCTATTTGTCTGTAAATATATGTTTCTAAATTTAATTAAACTGAAGCATATCTTGCCAAATGAAACATTTTTTTCTTTTTCCTAAGCGACATTCTAAATCCGTCAAACTGTTAGATGGCGGAGTTATCTGTTTGTTTAAACCATAGCTTTGAAAGCCCAAAGGCTGGCTGCCTTTGTG